TTTAGAGAGTCCCCACCAGCAAGAAGGCCCCCTTGCCAGAAGCTCCTCCTTGACCTTGGACTTCAGCCTCCATAACTGTAAGAAATAAACTCCTTTTCTTTATAAACTACCCAGTGTCAGGTATTCTGTTATAAGCAGCAGGAAATGGACTAAGACGCTTGGGTAGCAAAGTGCTGAGCTGGAAGCTGGAACCTGAGCCAGGAGACCTGGCCCAGAGCTAGGTGGCTCATCCAGTGCATGGCAGTTCCACTGGTGTAGGGGCTTTGGCTCATTGTGAGATTTGATTGAGACCCTGGAGGCTGACCCATTGCCTGCTACCTGGTCATTTCCTTGGAGCTTAAGTCTTATTGGGAAAGCGTTTTGACTTTAGTATTCTTTGAAGACATTGGGAACAAGAAAGTTTCTTTTCTTTATCATTGGACTGGAAGTGCTGGTAGTAATGAAATGAAAGGCGAGGCAGGGCTGGGTATGGTGGCTCACGCCTGTAATCCCAGCACTTTGGGAGGCCGAGGCAGGTGGATCACTTGAGGTCAGGAGTTCGAGATCACCCTGACCAACATGGCGAAACCCTGTCTCTACTGAAAATACAAAAATTAGCCAGATGTGGCAGTGTGTGCTTGTAGTCCCAGCTACTCGGGAGGCTAAGATAGGAGAATTGCTTGAACCCAGAAGGCGGAGATTACAGTGAGCCAAGATTGTGCCACTGCACCCTGGTCTGGGTGACAGAGCAAGACTCTGTCTTCAAAAAAAAAAAAAAAAAAACAAAGGTGAGATGGGAGTGAGCACAGGTCATGAAAGAATAATGATGACAGGCTTCGAGTTTCCAGCTGCCACTGCAGGCTGTGTGTGACCTCAGGGTCTCTCAGAGACATCTTGGGAAGTCCCTGCCCATCTCTCTGGACCTGCAGGGGAGGACCACATCTGTGGTTGATAATGTCTAGAAAGTTCAGAGTTTCCCCTCTCATCGAGGCTTTAATATTTTCAGGGAGGCAGAACAGCCAGATGGATGGGGAATGCACCTCCACCCTCTAGCCAAACCTAGGGACTCTTACCACTCTGACTCAAGAATCATAGTTGTTTTTTAGTTTCTGTTTTTGTTGTTGTTGTTGTTCTTTTTTTTTTTTTTTTTTTTTTTTTTTTTTTTTTTTTTTTTTTTTTTTTTTTTTTTTTTTTTTTTTTTTTTTTTTTTTTTTTTTTTTTTTTTTGAGACAGGGTCTCACTCTGTTGCTCAGGCTGGAATTGGAGTGCAGTGGCACTATCATAGCTCATTGCAGCCTTGAACTCCTGGGCTCAATCCCTCCCTCAGCCTCCTGAGTAGCTGAGACTATAAGCATGCACCACTGTGCCTGGCTAATTAAAAAAATTTTTTTTGTAGAGTCAAGGGTCTGACTGTGTTGTCCAGGTTGGTCTCAAACTCCTGGGTTCAAACCATCCTCCCTTCTCTGCCTCCCAAACTGCTGGAATTACAGAGCTGAGCCACTGGGCCAAGAATCCTAGTTTTGAATTTTCAGGCTGACAGCCTCAAATATGGTGAACTAGGGGAATTGCACAAAAAAAATATGAGTTCAGGTACAATGCAGTTGGTGGTTGACCCCCCCATCCCCAGAAGCCCTAGCTGGCTGTGGAGACCTGCCCTCGACCCCTCAATCTGCCCATCATGTGGCCTCCACATTTTACACTAGTCAGTTTTTGGTGTCTTGCGTATCACCGGCCTCATCTCCCATGGAGGCTCTAAATTCCTATTTTCACCAGCAAGGCATCCTTTTCCCTGCACTCCTGCTGTTAAGTGATATCTTATTCTTCTCTGATGGCACCTTTCCCTGACTATTGAGGTGACATGTCTTGTCACATGCTTATTGGTGGATTTGCTGTGCTCATTGCAGGGGATCTCACCTGGCTGCAGTTTTGCTGCTCCCCTCCCCCCGGGGACATTTGGCCATGTCTGGAGACATTTCTAGTTGTTAGCACTAGGCTGGCATTGAGTGCATAGTGACCAGGGTGCGCCTAAACATCCTACAATGCATGGGATAGGCCTTCACAGCAAAAGATGATCAGTCCCAAAGCATCAATAGTGCTGAGGCTGACAAATCCTGCTCTGCTGGGATTGCTGGGGAGATTTATTTTGTCTTAAAAAAAAAAAAAATTAAGTGACAGATGCTCTTGATCTATGCTAGGCATTGGCCTTTTATCTGTCATCTGCATTGCAAACATTTCCTGGAAATCGATCCTCTTTTAGTTTTGTTTATGGTATCTTTTGCCGCAAACACAGAAAATTAATATAGTCAACTGTGTGTTTCGTTCTTATTATAGCTTCTCCATTTCCTGTCATTGGTTGAGGTCTCCTCTGCCCTTATTGAGTGCGTATGGTTTTTTGATTTCTGCTTCTATTAAGATTTGTGTTCTTCTATTCTTTAGGCCTTTAATCTACCTGCAATTGATTTTTGTGAATGTGAGTGGTGGGAGGTGAGGAACCAAATATTTTTTTTCCGGGTGGAGAGTCAGTTTTTTTTTTTTTAAACCATATTAGATTCACTGTCCTTTCCCTCTGAAGGAAAATCCTACTTCTGTCATGTATTAGCTTTACAAAATACACATACACACATATGCACATGTGCGTGCACACACTCACTCCTGGGCTCCGCCTTCTTTTCCAATGATACTTGTCAATCTTAGCATAAGACCATTAGATCTTAATTACATGGCTTTGTCATATGTAGCACCACAGAGGCCAGTTCTCACATACATTCTCTTTTCCTGCCTTATATAATTTTTTTGGCAATTTCAGACATTTATTCTTTTCTCTTATTCATTGTTAGGTCCCAATATAGAAGTAACGCAAACCTCTCCTCACTCTTAAACTGGGCTCCAGTGCCTCACTTTCTGTTTGCTCAGCACAGTGAACGCTCCCCGTGTGCTGTTGTGAGAACTGTCATTTGAGTTATTGGTTATGGGGCTCCTCCCTCCTGCCAGCCTGGTTCTGTGCTGTGTTCCAGGACTGCATGGAGACTGGTGCTCATTCGATACTGGCGGAATGAATGAACAATGAAGGATGCAGAGCTCCTTTGTTTTAAATGTTAAAATTAAGTTCATTTCTTGGGTGGGTTCGAGTATAAGGCAGCAGAGGCTGATCTGGTCTTTGTCACTGCCAAGGTGTGGACTTGGGCGGTTGCTTCTCTCTTCTGCCTCAGCCTCCTTCTTTTTTTTTTTTTTTTTGAGATGGAGTCTTGCTCTTGTCACCCAAGCTGGAGTGCAATGGCACGATCTTGGCTCACTGCAACCTCTGCCTCCCAGGTTCAAGCGATTCTCCCCTTCTCAGCCTCCCAAGTAGCTGGAATTACAGGCATGAGGCCCAACAACTGGCTAATTTTTGTATTTTTAGTAGAGATGGGGTTTCGCCATGTTGAACTTCTGACCTCATGATCTGCCTGCCTCAGCCTCCCAAAGTGCTGGGATTATAGGCGTGAGCCACCACGCCAGGCTAGCTTTCTTACCTGTAGAACTGAACCCAATGGGCTGTAAGTATATCAGTGCAGTCATAAAATAGGATTTAAATTTATATATTTTTTGAGACAGAGTCTCACTCTGTCACCCAGGCTGGAGTACAGTGGTGCAATCATGGCTCACTATGACCTCCCAGGCGCAAGCAATCCTCCCACCTTAGTACTTGGGACCACAAGGGTGCACCACTATGCCCGGCTAAATTTTTTCTTTTGGGCCGGGCGCGGTGGCTCACACCTGTAATCCCAGCACTTTGGGAGGCCGAGGCGGGTGGATCATGAGGTCAAGAGATTGAGACCATCCTGGTCAACATGGTGAAACCCCATCTCTACTAAAAATACAAAAAATCAGCTGGGCATGGTGGCGCGTGCCTGTAATCCCAGCTACTCAGGAGGCTGAGGCAGGAGAATTGCCTGAACCCAGGAGGCAGAGGTTGCGGTGAGCCGAGATCGCGCCATTGCACTCCAGCCTGGGTAACAAGAGCGAAACTCCGTCTCAAAAAAAAAAAATTTTTTTTTTCATTTGTATTTTTGGAGAGATGGGGGTTTTGCCAGGTTGCTCAGGCTGGTCTCGAACTCCTGGGCTGAAGGGATCTGCCTACTTTAGCCTCCCAAAGTGCTGGGATTACAGGTGTGAGCCCCCACGCCTGGTCTATTTTAAATATTTTTTGCCCACAAAGGCAAATGTATTAAGGGCTCATAAAGTCATAACCTAGCCCTGCTAAACACTACCCAAAACTTGGCATTAGTGTAGCAGTCCCAGGCAGAGTGGAAACTTATGGAGAATAAGCAGTCCCTTGTCTGGCTGTTGCCAGAAGTAAAAACACATGTGCTGAAGGTGAGCGTAGGAGGCTCCGTTGTCCCCTGGGCTGTTCTCTGAGCAAAGAACCCAATTCCAAGTTGGCACAATGGAGCGGAAAAGTCCAGTAGCCAGACAGCCTGGCTGTGCCTCATGCTGCCCGAATGAGTGTGGGCTGGCCACTTAACCTCTGGGAACCTCAGGGCCTCATTTGGGAAACAATAGCAATAACACCCCTTTCATTGGACTGTTCAGTCATTCAAGTCATAACTCAACATGTGTTTTTTGAGCACCTACCGTGTTCCAGGTGCTGTTCTAGGTGCTGAATACACATAACGGCATGCCCCAGCACACCTAGTCCAGTGCCGGCACATAGTAGGTTCTCATTAAACACTTGTTGAATGGATGATTGGAAAACAGGTGGGGAGGAAGCATCAACAATAAACAAGTGAATACATACATGATACGTATATAATGATAAACATGAACATATAATTAAATCCTATGTGAAATGTAATCAGGAAGAAGATAAGGTGCTAGGAAGAAGAGGAACAGGTGGCAGTGACAGAAGATGATGAGGGTTGGGAGCCAGGACAGGAGAGCATCTGCTCAGATGGAGTGTTCAGGGTGGGCTTCTCTGAGGAGGCGACAGGCAAGCGAGGGCCTGACAAGGGAGTGATGGGGCTTGTCCTTGTTGGTTGCAGGCATCCAGCCCGCACTGTGGAGCAGGGAGGATGTGCTGCACTGGCTGCGTTGGGCAGAGCGGGAGTACTCTCTGCCATGCACTGCAGAGCACGGGTTCGAGATGAACGGACGCGCCCTCTGCATCCTCACCAAGGACGACTTCCGGCACCGCGCGCCCAGCTCAGGTTAGGGAAACTCACGGGCTTGCCTCTAAGTGGGAACCCTGACAGGCCAGGCCAGCCAAGTGCCCTAGGGGGGCCCAGGGAGGGAGATGGAGGGGGTCTTCCTTGGGGAATCTGCTCATTTCCAGCACTGCAGATGCCCCTGTCTGCATAAAGGCATGACGTAACCCTGCTAAACACTACCCAGAGCTTGGCATTAGGAGCGCAGCAGTCCCAGGGAGAGTGGAAACATAGGGAGAATAAGCAGTCCCTTGTCCGGATATTGCCAAACACACATGTTTTGCACGCATTTGTCTGGCTAGTGCAGATAGCCAGACAAGGGGTTCCTAGGTAGAGCAGGCCTTCAGCAAGGGAGTCTACTTGGCCACTTGTTTTCAGAGCTCTAGAGGCCTGTTCTCTCTTGTTTTCTCTTCCCCCTATCTGTGGCCCTTGTCTCCTCCACCCACTTCCATCCTACTGCCTCCCATCCGCTACCCCTACTGAACAAAAAACCAGCCAGAGAAAGATCAAATACTCATTCACACTGAGATATAAATGGCTGGTAACAGCAAAAGCCTTGACTCCCAATATGACTTTCGATTTTTATCAGAAACTAGGTCTGAGGGCAAAAGAATGGGTGTCTGATGATGGTGCCCCAGCAGCATGGCCTTTGTGGGGAGGGACTGGTGGGGGGAGGGACTGGCGGGGGGAGGGCCAGTAGCCAGTGGCAGGGGCGGCAGGGCCTTCCAGGAATCTCCAGAATTGCATCTGAGTCTTGTTTGGCTTGTTTTCAGGTGACTCTTATGTTTGTGCTGATTTGGTGTCTTTTTCTTTTTCTTTTTTTTTTGAGATGGGGTTTCACTCTGTCACCCAGGGTGGAGTGCAGTAGCATGATCTCGGCTCACTGCAACCTCCGCCTCCTGGGTTCAAGCGATTCTCCTGCCTCAGCCTTTCAAGTAGCTGAGACTACAAGCGTGTGCCACCATGCCCGGCTAATTTTTGTATTTTTGGTAGAGATGGGGTTTCACCAGGTTGGCCAGGCTGGTCTCAAACTCCTGACCTCATGATCCACCTTCCTCTCCCAAAGTTCTGGGATTACAGGCATGACCCACTGCACCCAGCCTTGGTGTCTTTTTCTTAAGAATTCACTCATGTTTTCTGTGTACCCTGTATTTTGGCCAAGCAGCCCCACAGTGTATGTGGCAAAGAGAAGTTGTGAAATCTGTTGATTTGCTCCTTTTCTCCTAACATGCATAGCCAGTCTCACGTCACATCCCAAGTTGTTGTTTTTTTTAAAAAAAAAAAATGGTGTCTTACTCTGTCACCCAGGCTGGAGTGCAATGGCATGATCCTGGCTCACTGTGACATGCACCTCCTGGGTTCAAGCGATTCTCCTGTCTCAGCTTCCTGAGTAGCTGGGGTTACAGAGGGCCTCTCCACACCACCACACCCAGCCAATTTTGTATTTTTAGTAAAGATGGAGTTTCACCATGTTGGCCAGGTTGGTCTTGAACTCCTGACCTCAGGTGATCCGCCCGCCTTAGCCTCCCAAAGTTCTGGGATTACAGATGTGAGCCACTGTGCCTGGCCAACATTCCAAGTTCTATCACCTACTTTCCCCCATGAGCCTCTGTAGCAGCTGCTGGAACTTTTGTCCGTCCCTCTAAGAGCTTGGATTCAAGAGCTCTAGTGGGAGGTGGGGAGAGGGCAGGGACAGAGAGACAAGGCTTCCTGCTTCCCCACAGCCCTGATGGTCCTGTGCCAAGGCAAGTGAGCTTGGGGCTGGTTCCCTTCATGCTCTTGTTCGTCTCTCCACCTTCCTACAAACACCCCTCACCCTCGTCCTCGAGTGTCCACTGCCTACATAGCATCCCTCTGGCTGCCTGGGATCCCCTCTTTCCGCCATACTATCAGCACGTTAGCCCAAGGTGTAAAGGGAGATATCTGGCACCACGGACAGGGCCCAATTCTGGCCTTTTTTTTTTTTTAGATGGAGTCTTGGTCTGTCGCCCAGGCTGGAGTGCAATGGTGCGATCTCAGCTCTCTGAAACCTCTGCTTCCCTGGTCCAAGAGATTCTCCTGCCTTAGCCTTCCAAATAGCTGGGACTACAGGCACCCACTACCATGCCCGGCTAATTTTTTGTAATTTTAGTAGAGACAGGGTTTCACTGTGTTAGCCAGGATGGTCTCGATCTCCCCTGACTTTGTGATCCACCCGCCTCAGCCTCCCAGAGTATTGGGATTACAGGTGTGAGCCACCGCGCCTGGCCTTTTTTTTTTTTTTTTTGTGACAGGATCTCACTCTATTGCCCAGGCTGGAGTTTGGTGGCATGAACACAGCTCACTTCAGCCTCAACCTCTCAACCTCCTAGGCTCCAGTGATCCTCCTGCCTCAGCCTCCCAAGTAGCTGGGACCACAGACATGAGCTGCCATGCCCAGCCGATTTTAAAAATTTTTGTAAAGACGGGGTCTATCCATGTTGCCCAGGTTAGTCTCAAACTCCTGGGGTCAAGTGATCCTCCTGCCTCAGCCTCCTAAAGTGTTGGGATTACAGATGTGAGCCACTACATCTGGCCTTTCTTTTTGTCAACCATTTATTGAAGCAGCTACTAGTTTTGCCTTTTAGGAAGAGACTAAGACAGCTTTGCTTCTTGGAAGGCAGGGGCAGACTTTTAGTAGAGCTTGGCATCCCATGAGGCTTAGAACTGTCTCTGCCCCCAGGAGTGTGAGGTACAGTTGTACAGTTTGTGCACTGTGCTCAGCCCTCAGCCAAGGGTGTGTGCAGGGGCTGAGAAGCAGCCTGACCTTGCAAGTTGCATGCTCTGGAGGTGGCTGCATCTACCGGCAGGAAAGGATGTCTTCTAAAATTCATCCACCATGCCAACAGCACTGGCTCTGCCCATCGCTGGCCCAGCCCCCAGTCAGCTGCAGCAGGAACCCCCTCGCTGTCAGCCTGAAGCTGTGACAGGACACGCCAGCCCTCACCCCGAGGCGGGTGGCTGCAGGAGAATGAAGCTGGCCCTTCCCATGTAGCCTGGTCAGCAGCCTGCCTTCTTTCCTATTCACCTCCAGGCGACGTCCTGTACGAACTGCTCCAGTACATCAAGACCCAGAGGCAAGCCCTGGTGTGTGGGCCCTTTTTTGGAGGGGACTTCAGGCTGCAGATGCCCACCCAGCACTCTCCTGTCCCCCCGGAAGGTGAGGAAGCTCTTCGTGGTGCTCTGGGTCCCTCCTGCAAATCCGCCTCTTTGGGAGGGCAGGACATCCTCGAGGCGAAGTAATGAAAGAGGTGGCCAGTGTGCACTGAGCTCCCCTCCTGCCCCTCCACCCACCTTCCCTGGGGTGCTCCTGGCAGCCTTCCTTCCGTGCAGCACCCTCCCTGCCTCTTTCCTCCCCATTTCTCTGCTCTCCTCTCCAGCAAAGGGTTGTTTGTATCATATCTCAATTTTTTCTCTGGAGCCCATCACGGAAATGATTCTGGTCAAGCTCACCAGAAACCTGAAAACAGGGATGTCCATGCCATGTCCACTCTCAGGCCTGACTCACTACGGCCCCTCGCAGCCTTTAACCCTGGGGGTCACCTCTCCTTCCCCCAAAACTCTTTTTTCCCTTGGCTTCCAGGACACCCCACTCACCTGGTTTCCTCTACTGCACTGGTATCTCCTCACTTCCTCTTCTGGTTTCTACTCTTCTCCCCTGCTTCTAGTTGTTGGGGTACCCCAAGCCAGAAGGCCTCTTTGCTTCTCCATCTGCACTCAGATGCTGGGCAATCTCATCTGATCCTGGGTCTTAAATACCATGCGGTGCCAATGATTCCAATATATGCTTGACCTCTCCAAATTCTAGATATGTGCACCCACCCTGCCTGCCCCACCCCTCCACTGGGGCGTCTAGTGGGCATCTCAACCCCCACAGCCCTTAAACCAAATGCCTGATATCTTGCCCTTCCCACCATCTTTCCCAGTCCCGCAAACCCCGCCTCCACCCTTCCAATTGCTCAGATGCCATCTTAGATTTCTACCCCCACCCCAACTCATCCCAACTGTCCATGCATCCTGTCCGCCCTACCTTCAAATCGATCCAGAATCCAACCTCTTCTCGCTCCTCCACTGCTGCCCCGGTCCAGACCCCATTGCCTCCAGAGAACGTCCTCACTGGTCTCCTTGCTTCTGCTCCTGACCTCCTATGATCTGTTCTCCACAGCGCAGAGAGATTCATAAGTCAGGTCATGTCACTTGTTCTGCTCAGCATCTTCCAGGGGCTCCCTTCTCACTCGGGGTCAAAGTGCCATTCTTACGCTGACTCCTGCCCCTGCCCTCCCCTCCCAGCCTTCTCTCCCTTGCTCATGTTGCTCCAGCCACATGGGCCTTCTCCTTCATTGGTCAAGCCCGAGACGCACCTGCCCCAGGGCGTTTGCACCTACTCTTCCCTCTGCCTGGCGTTCTCCTCTCTGCTCCAGATACCCACATAGCTCACTCCTCTATCTCCTTTGAGTCTGTTGACACGCTAATGTCAGGGAGGCCTGAGCAGCCTCTCTAAAGTGGCAACCCCACTACTTTCCCAGATTTCCCTATCTGCCTTAGGGATAGATTTCCCTACCTGCCTTAGGGATAGATTTCTCTATCTGCCTTAGGGTGCTTTGTTTTTGTTTCTGGAAACTGAAAAATAAAAAGGAAACTGTTTCTGTTTCCTTTTTATTTCAATTGTCCATCTCCCCTGCTCTCGACTAGCACATAAGCTCCCTGAAGGCAGGGGGCCTTTGCGGGCTCAGCGATATATCCTCAAGATTCTTAGAACAATGCCTGGTTCATAGCAGGCTCTCAATAAATACTTGTTGGACAGATGGAGAGGAGCTGGGATATAGCGCCCCTGGGTTCCAGACCTGGCTCTGTCACTGCTGGGCTTTGTAGCCAGTTTCACAGATGAGGGAACTGGTTTGACAGGTTGTTACTTGTGTGGGAGCTGGGGTTAGCACTTAGGCTGTCTGGCCCTCACCCACTGCCCCCACTGCCTCCCTGACCTTCTAACCAGGGGCTGGATGGAGGAAGAGCAGCAGGAGTGCTGCCCCATAGGGCTCCCAGGCTCGCCATTGAGAGGTTGAGTGGGGGAGGCTTGGGGCCCACGGAACCAATGTGCTCGTCTGCTTGCAGAGGTGACTGGCGCCTCTCCGATGGACCCCCAAAGTGGCCTCCTGCTGCAGCCACCAGACTCAGGCCTTATCAGCTCCTTCAGCCACCCAGATGGCCCTGGCCTGGCCAGGTGGCAGCTTGGCAAGGAGGAGTCCCTCAACTTATGTCACTGTGCAGAGCTCGGCTGCAGGACCCAGGGGGTCTGTTCCTTCCCTGTGATGCCACAGGCTCCCATTGATGGCAGGATTGCTGGTGAGTTCCCGGAGGCTGTTCCCTTGGCCATGGGGAGGCGTGCTGAGTCTGAGTCCCAGAATCACGAGTGATGAGGACAAGGCTATTTTGACCTGGCGATGGGAGGTCTGTGGCTGAGGGGTTGCGGGGTAGCATGACTGTCTTGTGTGCTGGCCACAATCTGCTTACAGCAGGCAGGGATACCTGGGATCACCAAGCCTCACCCTGTCTCCCACACAGGGACAACTTACCCAGTCATATTCTGACACTCACATTAGCGTGGAGTGCCACACTCACTTTTTAAAACTGTATCTATTTTAAAATAATTGAGCATTCATTATGTGCCAGGCGTCTGTCCCAGGCCCTTATTTAATTCTACAACAGCCTTTTGAGGTTGGTACTATTATTAGCCCCATTTTACAGATATGGAAATTGAGGCACAGGAAGGTTAAGTAACTTTTCCAAGATCACACAGCACTGGTAGAACTGAGATTTGAACCGAGGCAGTCTGGCTCTAGAGCCTGAGCTCTAACCAAGTGATCCACTTCCACTCGGCATTCATTGTTAAAGGATAACAGACAGACAACCAGACAGACTGACAGACAAGCTGCCCCCTTTCCTAAGGGTGTTTTCTAGCCATGATAGTGACACTGCATTTATTCTTTTTTTTTTTTTCAACTTTTATTTTAGGTTTAGGGGGTACGTCTACAGGTTTGTTACATGGGTAAATTGCTTGCCACTGAGATTTGGTGTATGAATAATTCTGTCACCGAGGTACTGAGCATAGTACCTGATAGGTATTTTTTCTTTTCTTTTCTTTTTTTGAGATGGAGTCTGGCTCTTTTGCCTAGGCTGGAGTGCAGTGGTGAGATTTCAGCTCACGGCAACCTCCACCTCCCAGGTTCAGGTAGCTGCCTCAGCCTCCTGCCTCAGCCTCCAAAGTAGCTGGGATTACAGGTGCCCGCCACCACGCCTGGCTACTTTTTATTAGTAGAGACAGGGTTTCACCATGTTGGCCACAAAATGGTCTCGAACTCCTGGCTTTAGGTGATCCACCCGCGTCAGCCTCCCTTGGTGCTGGGATCGCAGGTGTGAACCGCCACGCCTGGCCTGTGATAGTGCCTCCACCCTGGCTCTCTCCCTGTCGTGGTCCCCAGTGCCCAGGGTTATGTCCCCTTGTTATGTCCACATCACATTTATTCTGTGAAGCCACAGAGGGGGCAGAAGCCTGGATTTGGATTGGAAATAACTAGAAGTCACTAGAAAACAATTATTAGCCCAACACATAGAAATGATGAATACTTGAGGTGATGGGTGCCCTCAATACCCTGACTCGATCAGTATACATTCTATGCATGCCACAAGATATCACATGCACTCCATAAGTATCTCAAGATTTGTATCAATACAAAACACATCTATTCACAATTATTGGATCTTTTTTAAGAGACAGGGTTGCACTCTCTCGCCCAGACTGCAATGCAGTGATGCCACCATAGCTCACTGCTGCCTCAAATTCCTGGACTCAAGAGATCCTCCCACTTCAGTCTCTTGCAATGACTGGGTTCTTCAATTCTAATGCTTAACATTCTTCATGCGCTTACAGTACACCAGGCACTGTGCTGAGGGTTTTGTGGTCTATTATGTTACCTAATTCTCTTACCACCCCATACAAGGAAATTGTGGCTCAGAGAAGGTTGCATTACTTGCCTGCGATGACCCAGCCGACAGGCCCAGGTTCTGGGATTTAAGATCACGCTGTTGCTCCCAGATGCCTCTGCGCATTTGCCCCGCTAATGGCATGTTTGGTTTTCCTGAGCCTCACCATTAGGGAGCTTGAAGGGATTATAATTAATGGAAGTCCAGGGGGCTGAGTGAGTGAGCCAGGGGCATGAGGGACCTGGAGTCAGGGGCCCGCACACCCGGCCTGTGAGCCCAGCACCTGCCCTCACATGGCTCTGATGTCAAGCCGAGCTGCTCAGACTCCCCGCTCTGCCTCCCACTTAGGAGCCTGGCAACTTTAGACACTTCCGCACCCCTGAGCCCATTGCCTCACCGCTTCCTGGGGATAAAAGTAGCCACTTCCCAGACTCACGAAGACTGCCTGAGACAATGCATGAGGAGCCCCGTTAGTGCTGTTTCTGTTAATATCATCATTTTCACCATCCTGCTGGCGCTCCCCTGGTCCTGGCTGGGAGGCCTCAAAGAGTGCCTTTCTAACCCCTGTCCTCACAGCTCCAGTAAAGCTGCTTGCACCCGCTGTGCTAAATTGCAGACTGCCGGCTGCTATGGGATTATGTGTATCAGCTGCTCCTTGACACCCGATATGAGCCCTATATCAGGTGGGAAGACAAGGACGCCAAGATCTTCCGAGTTGTGGATCCAAATGGGCTCGCCAGACTGTGGGGAAATCACAAGGTGAACCTCAGCCAGCAGGCAGAGTGGTCTCAACATAACCAGAAGAAGACAGAGTTGGGGGCCAGAGTGGACCCCTGAAACTGTGGGACAGTCCTCAGCTGATGGGGCCTTCACGAGCAACCCCAGAAGTGTCAGGACAATTTATTTAGGGGGCTTTTGAGGGACAGGCAGTTACCTCTTACAGACAGGGAATGTCTCTGAAACTGAACAATTGTGTCTTCTCATTGCTTAATCTTACCTTTGCTTAGCATCTCAGCCTTTTGAAGCATGTTTACATGGACTGCACAGCGAATGCTGGGGGGCAGTTAGGCCACAGGAGGAAGCTGGTTTCTGGCGGGGAAATGCTATACATCGATGATTATCATTATCGTTAATAGTTTTATTTAAGCCGGGCGCGGTGGCTCAAGCCTGTAATCCCAGCACTTTGGGAGGCCGAGGCGGGTGGATCACAAGGTCAAGAGATCGAGACCATCCTGGTCAACATGGTGAAACCCCGTCTCTACTAAAACTACAAAAAAAAATTAGCTGGGCATGGTGGCACGTGCCTGTAATCCCAGCTACTCAGGAGGCTGAGGCAGGAGAATTGCCTGAACCCAGGAGGCGGAGGTTGTGGTGAGCCGAGATCGCGCCATTGCACTCCAGCCTGGGTAACAAGAGCGAAACTCCGTCTCAAAAAAAAAAAAAAAAAAAAGTTTTATTTAAAAGATCTGTTTTTTTAACTTAAAGAAACTATTTACAAAGGCTGCAGTCCTTATATCACCCTGTAAATCGTGAGATGGTCTTGGTAGTTACATTTTGTAATCCTAATTCAAGAATACAATTATGAGAATATTAAGCCACCCAAGATCATCTTGCAGACGCTCATTTAGGTACAGGCGCTCCTCATAGCGGGAGTGCTGGCCTCAGTCACCCCCAGGCCTTTCCAGCCCTGACATCAGATGCTCCTCGTAGGCTGAGACCAGGCCGGGGCTCCACTCTATCATGAGAATTAGACCAGATAAGTCTTCCCGAACTTTAGTCATCTGCACCCTCCCGGCCACCAGCACTGCTAAGGGCGAACTCACCTGAGGGTGCGAGCTCGAGACCAGCCTGGCCAACATGGCGAAACCCTGTGTCTCTACTAAAAATGCAAAATTCGCTGGGCGTGGTGGTGGGCAGCTGTAATTCCCAGCTACTCGGGAGGTTGAGGCACAAGACTCTCCTGAACCCGTTGAGGTGGCAGTTGCAGCGACAGCCTCAGTAATAATAAAAACAATGGCAGTTTGTCTTCCTTCCTTCCTTCCTTCCTTTCTTCCTTTCTTTCTTTTCTTTTCTTTTCTTTTCTTTTCTTTTCTTTTCTTTTCTTTTCTTTTCTTTTCTTTTCTTTTCTTTTTTTCTTTCCTTATCTCTACAGAGTCTTGTGCTGTCCCCAGGCTGGAGTGCAGTGGCGTGATCTCAACTACTGCAACTTCAACCTCAACGGGTTCAGGAGAGTCTTGTGCCTCAGCCTCCCGAGTAGCTGGGAATTACAGCTGCCCACCACCACGCCCAACTAATTTTTTTATTTTTAGTAGAGACACAGGGTTTCACCATGTTGGCCAGGCTGGTCTTGAACTCACGACCTCAGGTGAGTTCGCTGTTAGCAGTGCTGGTGGCTGGAAGGATGCAAATGACTAAAGTTTGGGAAGACTTATCTGATCTAATCTTCATATAGAACAGGGAGGAAAACAGGCCCAGGGAGCGGCAGTTCCATTTAATGAGCACATACTACATGCCATACGCTGTGCTAATTGCCTTCATGGATTAGCTATTAATAATTTAATGCTCAACTTGTGAGATAGGTGTTCTCTTTCTCATTATGTAACTGAGGAAGTGGACTCAGAGAGGTCAAGAAACTTGTCCAAGGCGACACAGCTGCCAAGTGGTGGAGCTGGGGCTTAAATTGATGCCAAACCCTGGGCTCTTTGGCCCTACTTCACACTGCCTACCCCCAAGAGAGAAAGACGACTTGGCCAAAGTCACACAGAGTGTGGCAAGGCCATCCATGCTGCCCCACCATGCTGTCTCTCTGATTGCATTTCCCGTAAATTTAGATATTTATTTGTTACTGTTGTGACATTTGCTATTTATTTATTTATTTATTTATTTATTTTTTTGAGATGGAGTTTCACTCATGTTACCCAGGCTGGAGTGCAATGGCACGATCTCGGCTCACCACAACCTCCGCCTCCTAGGTTCAGGCAATTCTCCTGCCTCAGCCTCCTGAGTAGCTGGGATTACAGGCACACACCACCACGCCCAGCTAATTTTTTGTATTTTTAGTAGAGACGGGGTTTCACCATGTTGACCAGGATGGTCTCGATCTCTTGACCTCGTGATCCACCCGCCTCGGCCTCCCAGACATTTGCTATTTAAAAGTAACATACAGTTCACTCCCACACTCCGTTCTCAACCAAGTAGGCGGGAGAATCTTCCCATCATTTCTTTCCCTTTTTTTTTTTGTGATGGAGTCTCTCACTCTGTCGCCCAGGCTGGATCGCAGTGATGTGACCTTGGCTCACTGCAACCTCTGCCTCCCGGGTTCAAGAGATTCTCCTGCCTTATCCTCCTGAGCAGCTGGGACTGTAGGCATGCACTGCCATGCCTAGCTAATTTTTGTATTTTTAGTAGAGACGGGGTTTCTCCATGTTGGCCAGGCTGGTCTTGAACTCCTGACCTCAAGTGATCTGCCCACCTTGGCTTCCCAAAGTGCTGGGATCACAGGCCTGAGCCACCGTGCCCAGCCCCATCATTTCTTCCCCAACCTTCCACTGCCTTTTTCCTTCCATACTCAAGGGAGCACTCATAAACCCTCACAGATCCCCGGCCTGAGAGGCTTAAGAAGCTGTCCAGTCTACCCTGCTCCCTTCCAGGTGTGGAAAGTGAGGCCCGGAAGCAGCAGGACACAGAGAGCGGGGCTGACACGGGGCTGCTTTGCCTTCCAGAACCGGGTGAACATGACCTACGAGAAGATGTCTCGTGCCCTGCGCCACTATTATAAGCTGAATATCATTAAGAAGGAACCGGGTCAGAAACTTCTGTTTAGGTGAATAGCCTAGGGGCTGTGGCGAAAGGGGGAAGCAGACTGGGGTTGGGTGGGCTGGAATTCCCCTGCAGCTGGGGCAGGAGCTGATTTGCAGTTGGGACCTGAATTCTAGATTTTTAAAGACTCCAGGAAAGATGGTCCAGGACAAGGACAGCCACCTGGAGCCGCTGGAGAGCCAGGAGCAGGACAGAATGGAGTTCAAGGACGAGAGGCCAGAAATCTCTCCATGAAGGGCAGATGGACTCCAGGCTGAGACGACTCTCCTGCGAAGGCAGCCTCCTCCTCCCAGTACAGCAGCAGGATCTCCAGCCAGACTCTACCCACAGGGTGACAGCCATTGCTTGGCAGGGCTGGGAGGCCTCCCATCCAGGACACACGGTGGGAGTGTCATCTTTTCGGCAGGGTGATCCTGGGGCTAAATGGCGCACAGGGGAGTGGACTCTCCCCTGCTGCGCCCCTGGGAGAGGGAGCCAGGCACTGATAGAGCATTCAGCCCCACCCCTGTAAATGGAATTTACGGATGAAGGGAGTGAGGTCTCTCACTGAGCCTCCAATTTCCTCACCTGTGAAAGGGGGTGCTCCTGAAAACCCACCCTCAGGGGCTGATGCAGGAAATGGGAAAAGATGTTAGTGCTTTGAGGCAGCACGGACAGCCTCAGTAATAATAAAAACAATGGTAGCTGATGTTTCTTTCTTTTCTTCCTTTTTTTTCTTTTGTTTTGAGACAGAGTCTTGTGCTGTCACCCAGGCTGGAGTGCAGTGGCGCGATCTCAGCTGCTGCAACTTCTGCCTCAACGGGTTCAGGAGAGTCTTGTGCCGCAGTCTGCCGAGTAGCTGGGAATTACAGCTGCCCACCACCATGCCCAGCTAATTTTTGTATTTTTAATAGAGACAGGGGTTTCACCATGTTGGCCAGGCTGGTCTCGAACTTGCGACCTCAGGTGATCCTCCTGCCTCAGCCTCCGAAAGTGCTGGGATTACAGGCGTGAGCCACTGCGCCCAGCCAATGTTTCTTAAGTGTTTGCTACATGCCGGGCCTTGTGCTAAAGGCCTTATGGATATCTTATCTCATTTAATTCACTCGGCAACTTGCTCAGGCATAAAGATGAGGACACTAGGGTGAGGCCTGCAGAACTGGCATGTCTATCCAGAACCCAGGGCTTCGACCTGTTTTCTTGCAGCGCCTCTGACTATTTGGGCACTTCCTAGCCAGGCCCCGGCCCCACCTCTCTGCTCTTGGCATCTTCACCGAAGAGTCCATTTCACTTGGCCCAGCCCCCTCATCCTCAGTTCTCAGTGATTCTACCCAGTGAAGACTGCCACCCCTCCCCCACACCGGTGGCTTCCCATGCTCCTGTCCCTGTATCTGCCACGTGACCTTAGGCAAGGTGTTCCACCTCTCTGGGGCCTCAGGTTTCTCATTTGTAAAATGGGGCTGCTTCTCCTGACCTGACCTCACAGGGTCGTCGGAAAGCTTTCATAAAGCAGTGCTTGTGAAATACTTAATGTTTGCCTGCTCCATGGGGAGTGCTTAAACGGTGTCAGCTGAGAAGGCTCTGCAGACCAGGAGCTGCTCTGAAGCACGAAAACACCTTGGTCCAATGGGCCAGCTTCTCCCCTCTGCCCCAGCCCCAAGTACTGACTGGGGGCTCCTGAGTCAGAGCCTCTGCCCTTGCAAGCCCTCAGATAAAGGTCGGGGAGAAACAGAAGGGAGTGTTTCCATTTAACCAAGAATAGAATTCCTTGGATTCATATCTTCTCAGAAGGAGGAAACTACCTCAGCCTCTTGCCCTCACCCGGTCAGGAAATCCCCCTCTCTCTGCTGGAGTCTGCCCTGGCTTTGAGTCACTGCAGAGAAGACCTTGATAAGGACTCTCGGACTTTGGGGCTCAAAGCTGTGATCGCCCATGAGCAGGGAAACTCCAGGCTTAGTCCTATCTGGGGCCCTCGACGGTACCCACCGGCAGGGGGCAGGCAGGTGGCTTTGGAAAAACGATTGATGGGAAATGGCTTGTCCCCTTTCACTTTCCCTCGGAGACCGTTCCATCTCCCTGACTTTGCTCTGGGATGAGCGCATGCGCCATGGCCTCTTTTATCACCTCCTCAACCCAGAACTGCATACCTGGCCCGGGAGGGACTGTGGAAATCAGTTTATCCAGGCCCTTATTTTTTAGAGCAGGGAACTGAGGCTAGAGAGAAGCGGCTTGCCCAAGATCACATGGCCCAGCCCAGCTTCCTGGCTCCTGAAGTCACCTCATTTCCTGGCATTGTGTTTGGGTCCAAGATATGAAGCAGGAGTATGGATTCCTAGATCACTTCTTCCGGTTATAACAGTGGTGTTTGCCTGCTGGTGTGTCGATGGATGTCAACAGCTACATTTCGCAGGGACCAGGCCTTAATTCAGGTGATGAATCTCACCCAGCACTGGGACAGTCAGGGCCAGGGGTGGGCTATTAGGAAGGCAGGCGTGAACCACTGCCGGAGATCCCGACTCTGGAACCCTGGGGCCGATGCCACCTTTCCTCCATCTCTCCAGGGAGATGAGGCCCTGGTCTGGGGATGGACCCCTGGGTGCCAGGAATAAAGGGCGTGTTCAATACATGAATTGAATACCTGCTATGTACCAGGCACCAGTTGAAGCATTGGGTTTATATCCATTTTTCATACAATTAGAGTCCTGAAAAGTGGCAGGTCATTGAAAATGACATATGTCAAAATGGACTTCTCACAAAGAATTTTTTTTTTTTGAGACAGAGTCTCACTCTGTCACCAGGCACCAGGCTGGAGTGCAGTGGCACAATCTTGGCTCACTGCAACCTCTGCCTCCCGGGTTCAAGCAATTCTCCTGCCTCAACCTCCTGAGTAGCTGGGACTACAGGCACACATCACCACACCAAGCTATTTTTTGTATTTTAGTAGAGACAGGGTTTCAATATGTTGGCCAGGATGGTCTCAATCTCTTGACCTCATGAGCCGCCTGCCTCAGCCTCCCAAAATGCTGAGATTACAGGCGTGAGCCACTGTGCCCGGCCCAGAATTTTTTTTTTTTTGAGATGGAGTTTCACTCTTGTTACCCAGGCTGGAGTGCAATGGCGCGATCTCGGCTCGCCACAACCTCCACCTCCTGGGTTCAGGCAATTCTCCTGCCTCAGCCTCCTGAGTAGCTGGGATTACAGGCACATGCCACCATGCCCAGCTAATGTTTTGTATTTTTAGTAGAAACGGTGTTTCACCATGTTGACCAGGATGGTCTCGATCTCTTGACCTCGTGATCCACCCGCCTCGGCCTCCCAAAGTGCTGGGATTACAGGCTTGAGCCACCGCGTCTGGCCAATTTTTTTTTTTTTTTTTGAGATGGAGTCTCGATGTCGCCCAGGCTAGAGTGCAGTTATGCGATCTCCGCTCACTGCAACCTCTGCCTCCCGGGTTCAAGTGATTCTCCTGCCTCAGCCTCCCGAGTAGCTGGGACTACAGGCATGCACCACCACACCAGCTAATTTTTGTATGTTTAGTACAGACAGGGTTTCACTATGTTGGCCAGGCTGGTCTCGAACTCCCGACTTCAGGTGATCCGCCTGCCTTGGCCTCCCAAAGTCCTGGGATTACAGGTGTGAACCATTGTGCCTGGCCAACAAAGAATTTTAAAAAGCAGGGGAGACAGCCTCATGGTTGAAAAAGTAGCCAGACATGTGCGGTCTTTTTGTCAGATTATATTACAATTAAAGAATTGACAATAGATAAAGAATTTATGAAAAAATAAGCATAATAAAAAGTTAATTAATGAAACAAATGATACAAATCACTGTCTTCGCCCCATTGAGCCATTTAAGGCACTAACCCATGAGCATGAGCTCTGGTCTTCATCTTCTCTATTAGATGGATTCTTGCCTGGAAAAGCTTTTGCCCTCATAGGAAAGTTCCAGATCTAGCACTTGATTTAATCCTGGCGGCTCTGCTGGGTCTGGGGCTCTTACTGTAGGAAGCCTGGGCTGATGCCGGGGACCCATCTGCTTTGTCACAGAGGATCCTAGGGTGACAGTCTTCCTTGGCTTCCTCCTCTGGTCCCACAGTGTTAGTGATCCACATTTTCTTTCTTCTTTCTTTCTTTTTTTGAGACAGAGTCTTGCTTTGTCACCCAGGCTGGAGTGCAGTGGTGCTATCTCCGCTCACTGCAACCTCCACCTCCTGTGTTGAAGAAATTCTCCTGCCTCAGCCTCCTGAGTAGCTGGGATTACAGGCATGCGCCATCACACCTGGCTAATTTTTGCATTTTTAGTAAAGATGGGGTTTCACCATGTTGGTCAGGCTGGTCTTGAACTCCTGACTTTGTGATCCACCTGCCTTGGCCTCCCAAAGTGCTGGGAGGTGTGAGCCACCGCGACCGGCCAGTGATCCACATTTTCTACTCAAATGTTCTCACAAAAGTTTTGCAGAGGCACTCAGAAAACACATACCTTTACAGAGCAAGGGCTTGTGCCACAGAAATGTCCAGATCTGGTGGATCTGGAGGTAAATGGGAGGATGGTGCGGGCTCAGAGGGAGCCTGTCGAATGCTGGTGCCAGGGTCATGCGCTGCTGGTGAGCTCCCTCCGTGGGACCTCGGCCCTCAAAGGACCTCAGTGGGAACTAAGCCACCAATGGAACAGCCCCAGAACTTGAGTGAGGAGTTTAAAGCAGGTTGTTCTGCCACCAGTATATGCAACTCAGAAATATTTTAATCATGATCTTGGTTTTTTAAAGTCCAAAATCCTTGTGTGAGTAAATTGCTCATCTACCGAGCGGGGATGGGGAAGGATGGGAGTGAACAAAGGGGACTAGGGCCCCGGCTTGGGAAGTTGACATAGAAGTAGGAGAAACAGATGTGGCTGCTCAGCAAACCCTTGCAGTCCCCAGGGAGAGATGACGTGAGAAGTGTGCCCATTGGGGATGGTGCTGTACAAAGTGGTGCTGGTGAATTCGGCTTGAGAGACACCAGGGAGAGTCTCCCTCCGGGGAATCAC